GATCATCTTTGTGCTCACAGGTTGGTGCCTCTTGTTTGATAATTCTGCTGTTTGTTTGAGCTAGATAACATGCTCTGATAATGCCTGTCTCACGGTCAGGGTGGACAGCAGACGAGCCAGTTTCTGACAAGCCAAAAGATTCCACTTCTTTGCCCCCATCCATCCCACATCTATGGCCAATCAACAACAACATCTTTTGAATTAAGAGAAAAAATCCAGGGTGAACACTTTGATACCCTTTCTCTGCACAGGCTATGATATTTTAATTAAATATATGAACATGTGGTCCTGCTCTAGACGCTCAAGTCTAAACGCATCATCTAATATCTTTTAGTAGTTGAACTGGTTCTTTTTTTAATGGTAAACAGTGAACACCAATTTACTGGGGCAGGCAGTGGTGAAGTTTGCAGCAGTTTTCATGTGTTTAGGTTGCAAGTTCCAAGACTTGGCTCCTTTCACAGAAAAGGACATCTAAGCAAAAGAAATTTTGCAAAATGAAATTTACAATCGGCACTCTAAGCTGCTCTGGTGGATCAGCTGCTACTTTGAAGTCTCTTAATGTACTTACTTATTCTAAGGCCCATAGCGGGCGGTTGGGTTGAGTGCGTTCACAGCCTTCTTGGGACACTCGGCACACAGCAAGACAGATAGCAGAAACAGGTTGCTTTGCCAGTGGGTTGATCCGGTCCTTCTTGCTTGTAACTTGTAGCATCTGGCAACAGTGTTTAGGCAAACTGTGAACAGTTTTAGGCGGCAGGACAAGTTCTGGTCAATTGCTCAGCTTTGATTTTCTGATTTCCGCTTTGTTACTGCCTGGGCGCTCGTCTGATGAAACTGTTTGGGGTAATTTAAAGTCAATACAAAACAAATAAGATTTCAAAGGAAACAATTCGTTGCTTTGCTACTCAAAATATACGTAAGTTGAACGAGATAATAACTTGAAACAAAACAAAAAATATATAAATGTTAAGATACCACAAAACATGAGGTTCGAGAGACCTCGTAAATATAATCGTTGCTGGGGTAGATTCAAAAGAATAGCCTGGGGAATTTGCCTTGTGCATTCATCTTGTCCTCCATCTGGTTCTTCTGCTCCTGTGACATGCTTTCTCATGAGACTCTGAAACTATTTCAGCATCATCAGTTTCCGGCTACTGCAGGTGGATAGAGTAGCTTGGCCCAGGAGAGCGAACAGCTCTGCGGCCATGCTGGTTTCTCACCTCACCAAAAGTCTCTAAACTAACTTCTTAAAGATCTTAAAAAGTGAATACACAATTAATTCGGATCAAGGAAAACACATAGGCCTATTCTAAATATTAAACAATTCATAATCATAATGCCAAAATAGCGGGAACAAGAAATTAGGTAATTAATACACATTTGTAAAACGATAATATGAAACAAAAGACAATCAGGTATTGAAGCAGTTTATAATAATTAGATTTAACAAAACTTCTACTGATAAAACACGATAATATTAAGCTAATCAAAACATGACAAACTAAAGTAATTGTGGGATGTTTCTATTATTATTATTATTATTATTATTATTAACTATTTAGCCGCTCAGATGGAACAGTTACTTAAAGTGGTAATTTTATGCTCATCATTTTATTTAGGGGTTGTACCAGAACAGGTTTACATGGTTTCATTTTCAAAAAACACCATATTTTTGTCGTACTGCACATTGCTGCAGCTCCTCTTTTCACCCTGTGTGTTGAACACTCCGTTTTAGCTACGGAGTGAAGCATCTCACTTCTAAATTATCTTTGTTGGGAGTTGCACATGCGCAGTATGTCGTTTAGGACTACTAACCAATCAGAAGCAGAGATGGGCAGATCAGTGAGAAGCAGGTAAACAAGGCTTTGGTTCAGCTGTATATCCCCTTACCAGCTTGGCAACATGGCAAGAGTTTCAGAGTGGTGAGTTATTATTCTGTAACAAAAGTCTCTTTCATCCATAAAGTTTTAACTGAGCTCTGTCTCTACATCACAGTAACAACTTTATGTCCACACTGCCTGGAGGGTAACTAGTGTTTGCAAGGGAGAGGAGAAGTGTGCTGCAGCTCAGTGTTTTTCCACCGGTGTTTTTGAGGGTGTGTCTGCTTGGCGAGTATTATAATGCATATTTCGCTGTGATATCACAGCACATGGGAGGAAAAGGCTGGACTACAAAAAAGCTGTTTTCAAGGAGTTCAGAGCAGAGTTTTTTGTGGGAGATGGGAATTCTTTAAATCGTTAAACGATTTGGGCTTTTTCACTTTGCAAACCTATTACACACACAAAAAGGCCAAAAAGCATAAAATAACCTCTTTAAAAGAAGGGCTAACTGAACAAATGAAACCACCAGTTTAGAAGGAGTGTCATCTTAGTGACATAAAGAGAAATAAGTCTGATTATGTGAAGGGTCATACTTTCCTTTGTCCTCTGGAGAGCGCTGTGACTCCATGAAGAGAATTTTAGCAGCCTTATCATTTCATAATTGCGTGTCATGTCATAGCAACATATTTTTTACATTACAGATATGAAACGTGGATCAGAAGCAACACCATTATATTTTTTTCACAATAGATTTGGGGGCTGTGGAAGAGAAGAGACTGGGGTTAGTTTCTTAAAGCAAAATGCATTTTGAGTTTTATGATCACGGCTGCGGAGTAGCGGAGCATGTATCATTTGGTTGGAGTGTGTGGGAGACCCATTTTGGAGACACCAGTTTATGCTTCTTCACCACTCCCAAAGTGGTTTTGTTATTCCAACTGTCTTGATAAACCTCCAGTTCATGGGAAGGTTAGATAGTCAGTTCTTACCTGGAATCTGTTAAAGCTGGTACTTAATAATAAATAGTCTTGAATGGCAAGGCAAGTCACTGTGATCCATAGGAGGATTAGTTTGTCTGTGTGTGATTTCTTCACAGCAATAAAACCCCCTTCCTTTGAGTTGTGGGTTGAAGGCCTTTTCAGACAGGCAGTTTCTGCTTTTGGGTATGAACTCACCTCCTCGACATGAATGAAACAAAAGGGAATCTGGCTGTGTTCTACATAGCATACAAAAATCTTACCAACAAAGAAAAGGTATTGTAAAGTCCCACAGGATGGCTGATGCATAGTGCCTCTTAATGTTCACTGAGAAAGAGTCAAAATGCTTTATAAAATAATTAAGTTATAAAAAACTAACCATGCTTTGTTTCAGGAGCACTGGTCAATGTTGCCTCTGAGCAAACTCGTCAATACTACTTTGTGAATACGCCACTGAACTGGACTGAAGCTCAGAGCTTCTGCAGACAGGTCTACACTGACCTGGCCACCATAGAAACCATATCTGACGTCAGTACCGTACTCCGCACCACACCGAGCTACAGAGGCAAGTTCTCAATATTGGAAACATATAAATAAACATACAGTATGTATAATCATATGTATGTACACAATAGCCAGGCAACAAAAGCCCTCAATGAAAAATAGAGGAGACACATAATTTAAGGGGTGGTCAATGAAGTAATTTACATTTTAAATTAATTCACCAGCAAATTTCAGGTGTTAAATAAAAAAAATCTGTTTTTAACAGGCAAGGCTTGGATAGGCCTCTATAATAAAGACTGGAGATGGTCTCTGAGTGACAACAGCTTCTATGGTGAAGCAGATACTGGGTTTAGAAACTGGGCTGCTGGACATCCCGTAAATGGACAGGAATGTGTGGGGATTGGAATCAACGTTTGGTATAACATAAATTGCAACAACATTCAACCCTTTGTGTGCTACAACGGTGAGTTTTCTTATATCGTAAAAATGAAAAAAGGGCTAAATAGATCTTCTGCATAGCACATTGTTAATAACTTATCTTTATTAATATATTTCCAGGTTCAGTAAATGACACATCATCCTTTGTAAAGATTGACAAACTTTTGAACTGGATCGAAGCTCAGAGCTACTGCAGGGAGAATTACGTCGATCTAGCCAGGTACAGTGTGCACTGATGAAGACTCCAACACATACAAAATAATACAGTACTGAAACAACTACTTAAGAACTGCTGTATGTTCTGTTGATGAAATTCAGCTTGTTGACAGATGATTTGAATCGTTTTTATGACTGTAAGGCACTTGGGGCTGAGTCACGTAGAATGATGATGATGAACATTGTGATGACTAGACAGTATTGGTAATAGAAGTATCACAACGATAGGTGATTTTAAGATGTTAATTAACAGCTACGTTGTCAGGTGGTAGAACACATTACCAAATTCTAAAATGATCACATAAGCTTCAATATTATATTTCCCAACAATCACTAACAATGCACTGCATTGTCTGATTTTCTTTTGTCTGTTATGTTTTACCTCTTCAGATATACTCAACTCACCCTTGATGTGTATATGCTACTGTTTCTCCCACAGCATACGAAATCAGGCAGAAAATGACATCATCTCAAAACTGGTAGATGTTTACTTATTGTGGATCGGTCTGCACTGGGAACGACTGTGGTCTGATGGGAGCACGTCTCTGTTTCAAAACTGGGCCTATGGGCAAACAGACAGCACAGAGCAGTGTGTCACCACAGCGTTCAATAACTCAGGACTGTGGTCAGATGATAACTGCTCCCTCACTTTCCCGTTCATCTGTTACTCAACAAGTAATGCATTTTATTTCTGCTCACATACTGTATAAAGAGTCATTGTTGCATTTAGGCAGTTTACGTTTAGATTTGTGCACATGGGCAAGTCTGTTAAAGCAGAAACAAGAATGATCTGTATTTTTAACGTTCTTCTGCTAAATGCTGTTTAGAAGGTTATATACAGCAGATAAACCTGTGAACATGTGGAAATCTAGTGATCAGGTTGTAAGAAGCACAGTATTTAAAAATGACATTCCTAAAGATATTACTTTTCTTGTCTGTAAAGTGAATGTTTAACATCAATATTCTGTCTCAGTTCCTCCAAACGCAGAAAGCTTCAGATCAATAGCACAAGATGAGACCAGCATCACTCTGCAGTGGAATAAAGTGAACAACAACATCAGCTTTATTCTCCAGTTTAATGATGCAGAGATCAACATCACTGCACCAGATGGAGATGGACCAGTAACTTACACAGTCTCATCTCTCACTGCTGCAACTGAATACACATTCACTCTCTACTCTGTGTTTGAGAACATCAGAAGCAGCGGAGTGAGCATTACTGCATTTACTGGTAAGATGTTTGACATAACATTTTCTTCTTGCAACTTGGGAATCTACTGGACAGTTAATAGAACTTACCAGCAATAGCAGTTCCCCTTCGAGGGAACTCGAACTGTGTCTGTTACAACACTATGGGAACGCCTCTAGGCGAAGCAGGTCTGAACGTGAATGAAATGACTCCAATCCTATTGGCCTGTTGCTAGAACGGTAAGGTGTGACGGAATAACCGGAGGAGTATAAAGCACACCTGTACACACTCATCATTAGCTTTTTTTTATTCAGCAGGCGCTCTGTATGTTGTTTGAAGAAAGCTCCAGTCCTACAAGCAGTATGTCTTACCTGAAGAAGAAGTCTACCAGCATGTCCGGCAACCAGATGTACAGAAGGTGTGTTTTTTCTTGCCCTCGGTACATCACGGATGGAGATTCTCATGAGATGTGTGTCTCATGTTTGGGGATGGAGCACGCACGGGCAGCTCTCGAGGGGGCTGCCTGCGCCCGTTGCGAAGCCCTTTCCGTGCGGGTACTGAGGTCCCGCATGGCTCTCTTTTCCGAGGATGGCCGGATGTGTTTTCCCCGTGGTGTGGGCCCTGCGGCCGCTGAGGCGGCCCGGCGGCTTCACTCATGGGTTCACAGCGTGATCTGTCGGAGGATTTCGGGACAGCTGAGGCTGGCTCCGACGCTTCCTTTCCTCGTTCGGGAGCCCGTTCTCGGCTTCTCCCGCTCGCGGTTTTGGATCCGGAGACGCTGCAGCAATCCTACTCCGAGGAGGCGGACGTGCTCAGCGCAGTGGACGATGACTTCCGGGTGTCGGGGCGGCGTCATCTGGCCGCGCCCGACTATGACGTGCTGCTGGAGGTGGTGACTAGAGCCGTGGCTAAGCTCAACATCAACTGGCCACGGGAGGAGCAGACACCACAGGCTAGTGGTAGCTTGATGAAAGGTTTCTTAAGCACCACACGCCACCTCCATGCCGGTCTCTGCCATTCTTTCCTGATTTACATGATGAACTGAGTAAATCATGGGGCAGACCCTTCTCTACACGGCTTTCCACACCCCGATCACTGAACTACAGTAATGTGATGGGGGTTAGGGACCGTGGTTATGGGAGGATGCCTCGGGTGGAGGATGAGCTTGCGAGCTATCTCTCCCCTCGACTTGCGTCCTCCCTGGAGAAGCCGGCATTACCATCCAAACCATGTCGCACCACATCCACGCTTGTGGGGAAGGCGTACATGGCAGCGGGCCAGGCAGGTGCGAGCTTGCACACCACGGTGCTTCAAGCCTACCAAGCCAACCTGCTACAGGAGATGGTTCAGAGGGGGGGTCCCTCCGAGGAAGATCTGGCGGAGCTTCGCAGAACCACGAAGCGTTAGACGCAGTGCGAAGCGTTCCGCCAGTACCTCCCTCGCCGGTCTGGACCCAAGGCAGCTGAGGCTGCCAGGCGTAGGTCCCTTCCCTCTATGAGCTCCTACGGAGAGGAGGGAAGCAGAGTGTCGCTTCTCGGGGGCCCCACGAGGAGCTGGGGCAGCGAGACGGCGCTCTCACCCTCAGCCGTCTGAGAGACGCGATCTGAGGACCGTCATCCAGTCCCGACGGAGCTCAGGGAAGACCGGGGTAGGGGAGTCTTTCTCCCCTCCCGCCCCCCCCCCCCCCCCACCTCCCCCGGAGGCCGACCGAGGTCCCCTCCGCCGTGGCAACAGGTGATGTTATCCCGCCGTTTACACGTTCAGGACGCACCTGCCACCACCGAGTCCGCGCCGTACTGCCTGCCCCGAGGGTCTGCAGGCGGACGGCATCCCGACTCACTCACCGTGGATCTTCGGCGGCTCCCCCCTGCCGTTCTGGGGCTTCAGGGGTCCACCAGAAGATCACACGAGACACCGACCACCAGCCCCGAGGGGCTGGTTCCGTTGGCAGACTTTGCAGACGCTTGGCGGAGCCTGACGAACATTTCTCCGCGGGTCCTGCGCACTGCCATAGATGGGTATCGACTACAGTTCAAAACCCGCCCTCCAAATTCAACAGAAGAGAGGGGGTGGTTTGGACTGTGGTCCGCCCGGAGCAAGGTCCGGTGTTGGGACAGGAAGTTTGTACTCTGCTGAGGAAAGGGGCCGTGGAACGTGTCTCCCCCCCAGACAGAGACGCCGGTTCTACAGCCGGTACTTCATAGTCCCCAAGAAGGACGGAGGGCTGCGTGCCCTATTTTGGATCTGCGGGTTCTAACCGGTCTCTGAGGAGATTCAGGTTAAAGATGCTCATCATCCCCGCCACCGTGACGCACATCCAATCTGAGGATTGGTTCGTCACGATAGATCTAAAGGACGCCTATTTCCAGGTCTCCATCCGTCCTTCTCACAGGAAGTTCCTGAGGTTTGCCTTCGGGGGTGTGGCTTACCAGTATCGGGTTCTTCCATTCGGCCTGGCACTTCCCCTAGCACATTCACCAAGTGTATGGATGCAGCACTGGCCCCGCTGAGGCTCCGGGGCATCCGGATTTCAACTTCATCGACGACTGGCTCATCCTAGCCCAGTCTCGAGAGTTGGCAGTTCGGCATCGAGATGTCGTTCTGGCTCGTCTGCGGCGTTTAGGGCTGAGGCTCAACGCAAAGAAGAGCGTGCTGGCGCCCACCCAACGTTCCTAGGGGTTGCATGGGATTCGACAACGATGCGGGCACAATTGTCTCCGGCACGTGTCGACACCATATTGGCTGCCGTGAAAGGGGTGAAGTTAGGCCACGCCATCACTATGAAACACTTTCAACGAGTGTTGGGTCTCCTGGCGGCTGCGTCCAGCGTAATACCATCTGGACTGCTGCACATGAGACCCCTGCAGTGGTGGCTAAGGAACAAGGGTTTTTCCCCGAGGGGAATCCTCTCCGTCTGGTTTGGGTTACGCACAAGTATCTTCGTTCCCTATCAGTTTGGAAGGAAACTTGGTTCCTGTCCCAGGGGCCCGTGCTGGGAGGGTCTTGTCGCCGGCTGGTTCTTTCGACAGACGCCTCCCTCACGGGCTGGGGCGCGGTCATGGACGGCCGCTTTGCAAGGGGATCCTGGCAGGTGCATCGATCCGAGTGGCATATCAACTGTCTCGAGATGTTGGCGGTGTTCCAGGCTCTAAGGAGTTTCCTGCCCGATCTCCAAGGCCACCACGTCCTGGTTCGCTCCGAGGAGAACAACACAGCGGTGGTGGCCTATCTGAATCACCAGGGCGGTCTGCGCTCGCGCCCTCTGGACAGACTGGCGCGTCAGATCCTCCTGTGGTCCCAGCAGAGGTTACTATCGCTCAGGGCGATGTATCTCCTGGGGACGCAGAATCAGGGAGCAGACCTGCTGTTGAGGCAGGGGCTGAGGCCCGGGGAATGGAGACTTCACCCCGAAGGGGTTCGAGCCCCATAGACGTGGATCTGTTTGCGTCTCAAGAGACGCAAGGTCTGGACGTCTGTACGCTTTTCCCCCAGTCGCTCTGCTCCCGGGGTTCTGGAGCGGGTCCGCCAGGACTATCTCGGCCTACTGCTCGTAGCCCCGTTCTGGCCAACCCGGGTGTGGTTCTCGGACATCATGTCGCTCCTGGACGGCCCGCCGTGGCGGGTCCCTCTGAGGAGAGACCTGCTGTCCCAGGCGCAGGGCCGGGTTCTTCACCCTTGCCCCGCCATATGGCGACTGTGGGTCTGGCCCCTGAGGGGGCACAGTACCTAGAGGCGGGTCTAACAGCCGGAGCAGTCGAGACCCTCCTGAGCTCCAGGGCCCCGTCCACACGGAGGATGTACGGCCTGAAGTGGAGTGTTTTCTCCACTTGGTGTAGGGAGCGGTCGGTGGACCCTGTTACCTGCCCGGTGGTTCAGGTACTTGAGTTCCTCCAGGACCGGTTCTCTGCTGGTCTTTCCCCTTCCACCCTCAAGGTGTACGTGGCAGATATTTCATCTTTCCACACCCCTCTGAGGGAGGGGTTCTTGGGGAAACTTCCCTTGGTTGTACGTTTCCTCCGTGGTGCCCGGAGGATGAGACCTGCGACTCGGTCCAAGGTTCCCACTTGGGATCTGGCAGTGGTTCTTGGGGCGTTGGCTGAGGCCCCCTTCAAACCCCTGGAGTCAGCTGAGGCTAAGCACTTGACCCTCAAGATGGCCTTTCTCCTTGCTATCACCTCTCTGAGGAGGTGGGGGAGCTCCAAGCGCTTTCGGTTTCCCCGCAAAGCCTGGAGTTTGCCCCGGGGAATATTAGGGCTATCCTGCACCCTCGTTCAGGATACATCCCTAAAGTGCCTTCTTGTGCGGCAGGGTCCACAGTGCTGCAGGAATTTCATCCTCCACCTCATGTGACGGCGGAGGACGGGAGACTTCATCTGCTCTGCCCTGTCAGAGCACTGAGTATTTACACTCTGAGGTCCTCCCGTTGGAGGAAGGCTGACCAGCTGCTAGTGTGTTTTGGGTCTCCCAGGGCCGGGCTCCCTGCATCCAAACATACTATTAGCAACTGGATTGTTCAGACTATTTCCCTGGCCTATCAGGTGCGCGGTTTGCCTTCACCTGTGGCTGTGAGGGCTCATTCTACCAGAGGCAAGGCGGCCTCTCGAGCCCTCCTTTCCGGGGCCTCTTGCAGGATGTTGTTTAGCGGCTGGCTGGGCCACTCCGCACACATTCATTCGGTTTTACAGTCTTGACCTTCCTTCGGCACCTGGCACTGGTGCGCTCTCCTCTTAGTAGTGCCACTTTATTGCACACAGGGGCAGGCGGGGTTTTCGGCACGGTTTAGTGGGTATCTCGTTCCCATAGTGTCGTAACCGACGCAGTTCGAGTTCCCTCGAAGGGGAACGTCTCGGGTTACGTATGTAACCCTGGTTCCCCGAGAAGGGGAACGAGAGACTGCGTCGGTCCGCCGCACCTCTCTCCCCGCCTGAAGCGCCTGCTTCATAGTTTAAGCTAATGATGAGTGTGTACAGGTGTGCTTTATACTCCTCCGGTTATTCCGTCACACCTTACCGTTCTAGCAACAGGCCAATAGGATTGGAGTG